ATCACATCTTGAATGAGCATATTTTTACAATATAGCTTTAATTACCAGCATGACCTTTACATGCTCTTACTCCTTACTGCAGTTATATTGCTTGAATTAAATGAAACATATAAAGTACCTGTAGGTTTAAGTTTAAAATTCTAATAATCTGTTTGAAAGATAAATAAGAGCAGCAGCTTTTAGAAAATTATGGTGCAGCATAGAGGTTTGATACCTCTATGCACAGCAGCACAGCTGTACTATATGTCTTGAGGTCCTTTTATTCAAAACAGGTTGGCCTCAATCCAGAGGTTGTGCCTTTCCATTTCTGCTGGAAATGGGGATTTGAAATACTCAGTAAAAGAATTGAACACTTATTTCCACTGGAACAAGTAGAAAGACTGCTGTGTTTTCCTTCCTTTTTCCTTCTTCTGGGGATGAGCTAAAGAGTTTGATTTGCTGCTGTCTTCATTCTAGAGGTCTCCTATCTTGAGAGTAGGATGTATAAATAGGTAGTTGACTGCAGCTGCTAGAGAAGGTAGGAGAATTGCAGCAAAATGCCACCTGCTGAGCCCTACACTCTAGCAATATGTTCTAAAAGTCTCCACGTGTCTTGCTGAGAAGCTGACAAAAATAACTTATGTACAGGATATGCACAAGTTACAGTTGAGGTTGCCCATAATTACACATCTTGTGAAGGTGATTTTATATATCTATTTTTTGTGTGTTTGTCGAGTTAGGAAAGCTCTCAGTGATGACATGAGCACAGGTTTAGGCTTATGCTGACATATCTGCCTATTCTATTTCAGTTCTATATTTTGAACCCTGTATTTTTATTTTTGGAGGAATTCCTGGAGGAATTTGTCCTATCTGGAGGGCAGTAAGCTGCAAAGCAAAGTCAAATGTCTGTCTTAGATGCTATGCTAGAGTTTTCTTTCACATGGAGAAGACTCTTCCTACTCCCTTTAGTATTTTTTTATTACCACTTTCTACATATCTCTGTTTTTCTTTGATAAAGATGAAATAACAAAAATGGAGAGGGTTAGAAGTGCTATATGAATAAGGTAGTAATGCTGAAGGTGAGAGCAGATGGGACAGAAGACAGGGCCTTGCATTTTTACTAGAATTTTTCCTTTAAGTTTAGAGCTTTACAGGTAATCCTGAGTGTAAATGATAAAAGAAATATTGTTTTGTGAAATCTCTAGTATTTAGTGCTTTACATTTCTCTTTTCATGTGTTTGTGCTTTTCTTCCTAAAATACTAGAAGTATGAGAATGGAGACTAATTTTTTTCTTCTCCTGGACAGCCTGGACATTTCTCCTGCCCCGTTGTGAAAACGGGACTTTCTAGAGAGACCGGAGCAAAACAAGGCTTTAGACCTTGCCATTTTTCTATAATTTGCTATTTATTTATTTATTTATTTTTTACATACTTCCCACATCAGGCATTAGCTTTGTTTGAACTTCATGCACCAGTAACAGTCACTGCAATCAGAGCAGTAGCCCATATTAATGGTACCATGTGTAGAACTTTCCTGGAAATACTTATTTCATTGTGTCTTCTAACATCTGCTTCTGTGCTTTCAGTTCATGTCTCTAGTCTGTCATTTACATCTGCACAAAACCATTTCCCCTGCCATTTAACTGGCATCTAAAATATGTTATGTATATTGATGCTTGATTTTTTTTTTCTGGTAACTTTATCCACATCATATGCCTAGATTTTACCAGTAAAAGCTTCATTCTCACCTGCTTCATTACTTCGGATGTGGATAATTGCATCTAGTGCAGCCTCCTCTGCTGTTTGCTTAGTTATTGTTATCTCCAGTGTATCCCCCGTTGCAGCTTCTACCTGGGGCTGCTCTGCAGCCGCTGCAGGACCTTTATGTGGGTATCACCGTTGTATTGCACAGTGCTACAAATAAAATCACTGACAACATATGGCCTGTTATGATCCTTTTATCCAAACTCTGCCATTTTGTATATTTGTGACACACTGCAGATTTTGGGAAGATTGCTTCATAATATTTGTTTACCATCTGCTGCACTCTATTTGGTGTCTTGGTAGGATTTCTTCCTCCATTTTAAGTGACATTAGCAAAATCCAGCCAGTACGTAGGATTTTTTGGTTCTACTTTTGCTTCCCTAATGTGCTGGAAAATCATATTGCTGTGCTCTAGGCAAGTAGAGAAGCCTGGAAATATTCCTGAACCCATGCATCATATTCAGCTAGTTTTTGGGCTGCCCCCACTTTTATATCATGGTAGTATGGTAAAGAATCTTTGTATAGAAATGAGAAATATACTTTTCCCGTTTTTCTTAAAAATAAAAATAAAAAAATTGCCTCACTGTTTTAGACTTGACTTTATCTAATACCAGGTAATTATTTTGATGTTCAACTATCGGGAATTAAGCAGGTCTGAGTACTCTAGAGTTAATTTCTTATGATTTGAAATTAATACTGCATGTTTTTTAAATTATATTTTTAAAAAATATATTTTCCAAGTGAGCTCTGGGTTTACCTGTCACTATTTTTGATGGTCCTACCTCAGGTTTTTGTTAAGTTAGGCTTGTTTAACAGCTTTGTTCTCTCTGTTTCTCTTGCATATTTTTTCCCTCTCCTGTGTTTTGCTCTGATCCCCTTTTGTGCTGCTTTTGTGGTGCTCGCTGTTCTAGCAGCAGCTTCTTCAGTCCTTCTTGCTCAGCCCCTACAGTGCTACAATGACTTGGGTTTGGGCCAGGTAGCAGCTCTGCGGCTCCTCCTCCTTTCTGCCTAAAGTATTTCTGGGCAAGGAAACCTCGGTTTCAGTTCACTAATTCTTCTTACTCTTCTCACCATTCATGACTTGCTGCAGGCTGGTGGCCCTAGCAAGTAGTTCCAGCAAGCTGACAATTCACCAGTTAAATTTTCAGGAGATGAAACTACTGTATGATGTGGTTGATCCAGCTAGTGGTTCTTCCAATTTTCCAGTTTCCCGTGTCCTACAGCTCTGTTTTGGTACTTTTTAAGTGTTATTTTCTTTTTTCTTTTTTTTTCTTTTTCTTTCTTTCTTTTTTTTTTTTTTTTTTTTTTTTTTTTTTTTTCTTTTTTTTTTTTTCTTTTTTTTTTTTTTTTTTTTTTTACTTTTTTTTGTCCTATTTGTTAGTTGTTTCTTCCCTTCCACATTGTTTTGCCCTTTTCTTTAGAGCCTCAGAATTATCTGCTAGGGTTTTGGAAGGCAGGACGCACCAGTTGTGCAGGTAATCTTGCTGTGTTGGTTTAGATCCGTTCATAACTACGAGCAAGAGTTATTTTTTTGCATCCTGGGAATACGGGTACATTTTACATGCTGTGCAGGGGCTGTGACTGCAGAAAGTGCCTGTATCAGTTGGAGCACGTCCGAGGTGAGGGCAGGCAGACCTCTCGCCATCGTCTGCTCAATGCCCAGGTCTCAAACCCAAAACATTTGCCTCGCTCAATCTTCATCCTTTGGTATTTAGTAGGAGTTGAAAAATGGTGTCCTTCCACACCACGGCACTGTCAACTCTGCTGTGAAGCTGAGTGTCCCTGTCTTCCTTAGTACCCTGGCTCAGAGGGACCACTGTGTTTGAGATTCCTCAGAGTTGGTGTTTTCGTGCTAAAAAGGCATGTGAATTTGTCTACTGTTCTTTGTTGCTTCAGTTAGATGTTGTGCTTTTATTTTCAAAGAGCTCCCTGTCCGAAGAGGAAAAACCTACATATAAAACTGGGATATGTGCCAGGGTGCCATGGTCCTTTTTCTTCCCTTTAAAAAATATCTAAGGAAGATGTCTAAACTACAGCAGACAAAAATGGGAAACGGATCGTTAACCCCTCTCCCCTCCCCAAAGCCGGAGCAATAAAAAGAAATGAACATTTTGTTACCGGTTGGGAGAGAAGGGCTCCTTTCCGGCTGCTCTTGCGGTTCTTGTGGTTCTCCGCTCGGTAGATGTGTACGAGCTCCACACGAGGTTGAGGTGAGAGGAGGAGGCTGGAGCGGCTGCGAGCACTTGAAGGGTCCGTGGAGGTGTCGGGATGGCTGGGCCTGTTGCTGCACCAGCGGCTGCTGCTGAGGGATGCAGCCCCCTGGCAAACTGCACCTGCTGGATCCTGCCATAGGGCTTGGGAGAGATGATTTCTCTTCTAGATCGTCATATTAATAATTTTTTGAGCGCCATGTTCTGCCAGAGCCTCTCTGAATCCTGTTCTCTGATCTGACTCTGCTGCCACAGCATCTTGCCTCATGCCAGTGAGGGCTGTTGGGGCTCGAGCTGCCGTGGAACATGGTGTTACCTCATGGCGCTGTTCGTAGCGTGCCCTTTTCACTCACAAAACCGCAGGCTGTGCTGCATTCTGTCCTCATGGGGATGTGCGTCTGTGTATGAACATCCACATTTACAGCCACATGTTGCTGTTTGAGTCTGGGTTACTGTGTCACGAGTGAGCAGAGGTGCCCATGGGTCTAATGGGGCCTGTTGAGGAGGAGCCTGATGCAGGGCTGGGGTAGGAAGGAGTGAGTGAAAGGACACAAGGATTTAGTGGGGAGAAAACAGATTAGAATAACTAATCTCACTCTTGACGAAGGAAACTGCCACAGCTTAACTCCATCTGGGAGGACATGAGGCAGGCATGAAGGAAATGCCTAAACTTGACTTCCAATTTACTGTGGCCCAAAACTTCCTTGGTGGATGCTGTGGCAAGTGCTGCAGCGTTTGCAGGACCTCAGGCTTCTGCTCATGAAATGGTTGCAGAGAACAGAGTTTTGAGTGCTTTGTTCATGACCTCCTCTTCTAGATGTAGTTGTAGTCTCCGTTAATTAATACTTGGAGTCATTGCATATTACTATTTCCATTGCATATTACTTGATTACTCGTGAAGTTGGCTTATACTTTCCTTTTGTTTTCATTCACTTGTAATTTTTAAGGCAGAATGAGCTGATCTGATACACTAAAATAGTAAATCTTATTTTTTCCTTTGTTGATGAATATATTTCTTTGTTAGATGAAGATGAGGATGGTGATCGAATTACTGTAAGAAGTGATGAAGAAATGAAGGCCATGCTATCCTATGTAAGTATAGTATAACAAGTGCTCATGCACTTTGTTTACCAGTTTTGGTTCTTGAAGTTTTTTTTGCTTGTATCAAAGTGTTAATATTAAATGATAGTGTTCACAGTATATTTCTGTATTGTATGTAGGTGTTTAAAAACTGTAGCATATGAGATACATGGACATGCTTGACTTTTTTTTTTTTAAAAAAAAAGCCTTGTACACTTACTGATCATATCATAAACATTAAGAATAATGCATCTTAATGACTTTTGCATTAGGTATAGAGCAGGCTAAATGGACTATCAATTTCTTGTATTTTTTATGCAGTACTTAAAGTAACGGCTCATTAAAAATGAACCCCTGGGCTCTAAAAATTTTTCAAAATCTACTTTCATCTGGAGACTGTTTCACCCCTCCTAATGCAAGAGTTACATTTTAGCTGCAGGCTCAATATTCATAGAAGATTTAAAGTCGTATATGCTGTTTTTCAAATATGAGGTGTATGTGTGTACGCATATATCTTTATATACATAAAATCTCTGTATAGAGGTACCTATAAATATAAATTCTGTCTACAAATATAAAGTATGGGGCATACTTGCCGGAAACAACAAAAAGTATATCTTAAAAATGTATCTTTAATGCTTCAGATGTGTAAGTGAAAAAAAATCCATTTAATACTTCTTTTCAAAAGAAATTGATAAGCAAGAAAAGAGCAAATAGTTTCATGAATATTCTTCTTCTGCCAGATGAAATGCCAGTTCCATATGAAGTGCACCTCTTGACAGGAGATTGCTTTTATATTATGTTAATGGCCTTAACTTTGGACGTATCGGAACATATATCCTATGTAGTGCTACTCGCTTGTTTTTAGTAGAACTTAGCAACTTGGTTTAGTTTGATCCTTATCATCACAAATACGTTGTGCCCTTTCACTCTTAGGACTTGAAAATTAAAGATGACCAAAACTAACCATGTTTTGTACTTGCTATTTTGTTCCTGCCATCCTGTCTATGAACTTGTTCATAAAGCAGCAAATTTCAGTTCGTAGTGTGCTTTGATGTCCTCCATCTTGCCCAAGCCTCTGCTTTATGGCTCATTCTTGGGGACGTGTTCTCAGTGTTTGGCAAAATGATGTCACTGTGTTGTCAACTTAAATGTAAATGTGTCAACAGACAAAGCTTTTAGGTTTAGGTTTTTTCACTGGCCCCAGGAAAGGCTTCCTGTGAAGTTCTGCTCCTTTGATATCTGTAGGGATTTTTCTGCAGATATATTATGGTTTTTCTGCATAGATATTCCACATGCCCATGGGTAGTCCATTAGTCACATGGAAGCCTGCTGATAGGCACCAGTTCTGAGAGTTTTTACTCACTGTCAATAACTTGATGCCAGGGTGGAGAAGTGCAGATTCCAAGTGATGGTGATCTCTGTAAAACAGAGCTCTTTCAAAGGATTTATTAAATAAGCCTCTATCATTTTTTCCCTACTGGAGGTGAAATTATTATGTTCAGAGTTTGCTGTTAAAGAGCATAAGACAATTGTGTGAAACAAGGGGAGAAAAATCTTGCTGCAGTTGAGGGGATTTTTGTATGTGCTTTGGGGATTCTCTTTTGTTCTGTGCAATAGATCACCAGTGATGTTTCCCCGATGGAGCTTCTCTAACATATGTATTCCTTTTTGTTCCTTAAAAAATGTCTGCATTATTGCCATTAAACTGGAACACTTGAGTTTTCCTGGCAAAATTTTACAATTAATCATGCCTTCATAAGGTCATCTTTTTGCTATGCTTCCAAGCTTAGTGTTAAAGCTTCAGTACATTAGAGCTGTGACTAAGCAACCCTCTACTTTCCCTACGAATTTTGGGATGTCTGTAAATGACTTCTTTCCACTTCAGCAGTATTTCCTTCCTGAGTATCCTCCCTTGAGTTTCCAACTAGGTGGCTGCTGCAGTGCTGTGTAGACGCTTAACTTTCTAACTTCCTATAGTTGTCATTTTAGGATATGTTTATGAGAAAATGAATCTTCTGTAAGAAAAAGAATGAATCTATCATTATCTTGAAGACTATAGCAGGGGAAAAAGTTACTTTGGGCTCTTTTCAGAAGCCCACGGTTACAGCTCATTAGACAGGAGTGCGAGATGGTGACACCTCATGCCTGTTCACGGTTCCTGATGCAGTCGGACTTGCGTTGCAGCCTGTCCCAGCTCCTGAACACATACCTTCACGTGCCCTGTGCTCTGGCAGGTATTTATGCACGGGGAGGACACGGCCAGATGGTTCAGCATCAAATACCCGTGCCTCTTGGGGCTTTTGATGCCTGTCTGTTCTGCTTGGCGTAGTTAGCGTTTTGCAATATGGCATTTTACGTGAGGTTGTATCGAAGATGGCAAATGGCAACTTGTAGCCTAACCTGAGTGTCCCATGCTGGGAAAATGGGCTGCAGCATTTGGCTCCAGCAAAGCACGTGCTCTGAAAGCAGCTACTGCCGTGAGGCGACGGTGCTCCAGGCCTGCAACAAATGTTTGGAGGAGGAAACAGCTGCCGAGTGTTCGGAGGAGCGTCGAGGGGGTGCAGGTCTGTTAGCGTGCTCCAAAATGGAAGTGGAGGATTTCGGTATAAACATGGAAAAGCAATTCTTTGAGAATGCAGGTCTGTTCTGTGAAAGTAAAGTATTATGATAGAGCAAGGTGCTTTGCATCTTACATGACCTTTTATTTTTAGATTCCTTTGTTTCAGAAGTTGATGGTAAGTGATTTGGACAGATTTGGATTATTTTGGAGAATGCAGGAATATTTCATGTAAGACCTATGCAAATGTTGTTGGATGATTAAAAAAGCTATTTTTCTATTGTGCATTACAGTTAATTAAAGAGAGACATTGAGCAGCAGCAGAGCTGCACTTCAGCTGTTGTCTTGTATCACTATAAAAAGGCAGTAATTTTTTTGACAGCCACTGATTGGAAAGTTGCTTGCAGCTTTCTGAAAGCAAGGGGTACATGCTCTGGATCAATAACTGGCAAATTTTCCATTAAAAAGAATACCTGAACAATGTTCCAAATAGCCACTGGCATCTTAATTTTCCATGGAAACCTCAAATGCTCATATGTGGAGGACAAGTCATTTTCAGACAATTTTTCCAGACTACTTGTTAACAGTTATTGCTGTCCCAAAAGGTTGACAGCTTACATGATTGATATTTCATTTACTTGTCATCACTGTTTGAGTAATGGAGAGGGCCACATTTCTTTCTCCTCTCTCTTTCTTTAAGAAACAATCCATTTTAGCTTATTTTAGTTTAGTATTCTGAAAAGTATGTAATATGTTTATGCAATATGTATATGTCTTGAGGTCAGACTGCCCCTTGAAAAAGATTTTTAAGAAGTATTTTTAAACAGTTTTGTCCCTGCTATGGAGCAAGGAATTCTTTTACAGCTGCAAAACTAATAGGTGTCAGTGGCATCTTTTTTTCTCTGAAGGGTGGGGACATGAGGAGAGGATTTGACTTGTTATTCATGACTGCACAGTGCAAAATAGGTCTATGGGGTAGTATGTCCCAGTGCTGAAAGGCTTCTTGGTTGTTTCAAAACAGTGAATAGGAGTTTTGCAGGGATTAGCTTTGTACAAGCACAGTGAAAGCGCTGGCCATTTATATATTTGCATGTTAATGTTTGCCAGAGGCTCTACCCCAAGTCCTGTGGCAAGATTTGAACGTGGGAAATGCTTTGAGCAGCAGGCGCGTAAGAGGTTGCGCCGCGCTGATCTGTACATCCAGGTTTCTTGCTGTTTTTTCACAAAAAGAACTTTCTTCCTGCTTCTCAATACGAATCAGAAAAACAAACACTGAAACTTCTTTGCATGAGGCTAATGGACTATTGTAGCAGGTTGGGATCTTTGCACTGTAAGGGAAAGTGTGAATGAGGCTCTGCAGAGCCATGTACAAATGTGCTCAAGTTTCCCTCTGCCATAAAGGTAGCTGGGCCTGAGTATGAGTGAGATCTGGAGTTGAGTCCCCTTGACTCTGTAGAGAGGGTGGGATTTGATTTAGGGCAATCTCAGTAACATCAGCTCATATACTACAGTTTGCAAGTTTGATGCTGTTATGAGAGGAAATAAAAAGTGTTTTATAGCATTAGGTAGTTAATAAACTGTTTCTTTTTCTCTTTATTTCTGCGAGTAAAAATGCATGCTTTATGGGAAATCATTGGTGTGAGTGAAATACACGTGTTTGATTCCCTAGAGATTTCTTTTTTTCTGTTGACATTTAATCTTGCCAATTTGAGTAATAGCATCACAAAAAAACTCTTAACAGTGACATTCTGAAGTCTTAGACCACACTCAGCTGGTGAAAATTAGCATGAAAGTCGCTGGAGCTCCACTGATACCTGCTGTGAAAATGTGGCCCAGAGCCAGCGTGTTAGCTTCAAAGATGGTTGGCGATTGCAGGCTTTGGGATGTACTTGCAATATCTAATGCACGTTGTAGGCAGAGGTGTGGGATAAACCATGCATCTTCAACTGTGGTTTTGCTTTAGTAGATGTGCGGGTCTTGCTGTTAAACATCCTACCTGATGGATATTTGGGTGATAGCTGGTGGTGATAGCTGGTTCTGAAAGACTAAGAAAGAGCGAGTTGCTTAATCCAAGCTCAGTTCTCCATGTAATCTCACTGTTTGTCCTTATCAGGGTGTCACATCTCAGTCTTTGTGTTGCATTCAGTATTCTCTGTCATCTTTGGTGTTGACTCTCTCAGATACAGACTGTTTCTTTGTTTAGAGAGAGAAAAAACAAACTTTTGTACCTTTTTAGCCTTTCTTCATCAACAAGCCTTCCCTGCAGGCCCTGGAGATGCTCTGACCTCGGGTCTTGTTTCTGCAGAGTGCTTCTAATAACACATTTTTTCGTACCCTTCTCTGTTTCAGGTTTATACACTGAGGGACTCTGTTACTTCTCTGCTTATGTGGCCCTAACTGTCCTGATGATGCCTCAGCGTTGCAAATTTTTTGGATAGTTTCCAGATTTTGTCCCTTGGAGTTTTCTTGCTTGTGTAATTTTTGGACTATATTTATGGTGTTTATCTGTTTCCCTTTTGACTGATCTTTTTCTCTCTGACTTCTCCAGATGTGGTAACTGCTGTTTGCTGTAAATGCCCCACTTACTCAATCTTCAGAACCATTCCCAGGTTTCAGGTGAGCCCCAACCTGTCTGGTTGGGCTACTAACAGATCCCTGGGCTTGATTCAGCACAGCAGTGGCCACCACAGCCCTCTGGTCACGTTCCTCGTGAGCCGCTTTATTGCATGAGCATTGCAAATGGTAGGAAAGCGCTCCAAAATTCTGATATGTATAACGGCAATTAAAAAAAAAAAAGCCAATTTAACACACTGTAAGTGCTCTTACTACTGTTCATACATTACTGAGTAATCTTCTTGTTTAATCTCTTTGCAGTATTACACCACTGTAATGGAACAGCAAGTAAATGGACAGTTAATAGAGCCTCTACAGATATATCCAAGAGGTAATGCTTAACAAATTCTAATCAACAATGATTATATCAGTGAGCTGTTTCATCAACAGTTATGTTTTGAGAAGGTTTAAATGCACATAACATGATGTTTACATCTTAATTTGGATAGAAGAATTCATTATTGTGGGGAGTGTAGTGAAAACTACAGTTATTGCATATAAAATAGCTAATTTACTGGAGTAAATTAGACTAACAAGATTCAGTTTGCGTAGTACATATTTCTGGACATTAAAAAACTCATTGGTGATGTTTCTGCATGTATTCAAACCGAAGCAGATGGATAACTTTTTAGATATTTACAAAGATTTTTTTTGTAAAGTTCTTTGGTCTTGTAGTATTGTTGATCAGTCTTAGCAAGTTGGGGACTGACTGTGGGTCATTTTGAAAACTGGAACATGTCTGTCAAAGCTGTACGGATGGCACATTTTATTTGAGATACAGGGCTTAGCAGTGGTACCAAAATGATCAGAAGTTACTTGAATAGCTCTTCTGAACGGAGAAGGATGTAATCAAGTACATGTGTTAAGAAGCAATTAAAAAATAGGTCATCTACATAGTGAACAAAAATCTATAGGCAGCTACATAGATTTTTTTAGGGAATGCACTTCTCTCTGTGAACTCAAATAATGCATTAGTCTTTTATTAACCATTACATAATTCCTCTGATTCATTCACATGTTCTCAGTAGCCAGTCGTTAAATCTGTGGTTCCTAATTGATGAAACAGATAAGGTTTAAATTCTCCAAGTAAATCTCCCAGCAATAAATTAATTGAAATAATTAAAAATTAAACTCTTCTCACTTAACTGATATGATACAAATAATCATACCCTGAGTTTCCCAATTAAACATTCTCAGCTTCTATTACTTACAACTCTCTGAAGTTTGAATTGGGCAATTAACCAACATTCCTCTCAAACACATGCTAATAAGGTCTCAAAAGGAGGCTGCCTTTCCTGGTAGCCTAGTAAGCTGCTATGGAAAAGAGGCTTGAAGTGGAGGTAACGCAGAGGTGTTTGTAACTCAGCCAGGTCTAATCAAGAGGGGTCTTGTGCAGATCTTTGGAGGAGGCCAGGGAATTGGCAGGTTCTTTTCCACACCAGGCTTAACCTGCTTTTAGATCCTCCTTTTGGGGTAAATTGGTTATTCCTGAAGAACCAGCCGTGTGGATTCCTGCTCCTAAGGCAATTTTCCTGTATCTTTTCCCATTTGCTTTATATCCAAGAATAATCTTTGTTGTATAGATTCAGAATTTGCCTCCATCCTGCTCAGGATGCAACCCCAGTTTATTACCTCAGCTCGTTCCACACGTGGCTGCTGGGCATTTCCTTGTTCATGGCTTGCTGCTTCCTTACTCCAAATTGCTTTAGAGCTGAGTTGCTGTTTCATCTTTCCAAATCACCTTCCTAAAACATCTCTTTCTGTTTCTAGGTTACAGCTTTAAAGCCATCTTGCACGTCTTTCAGACTCACTACCTCTAAGTGCTGCTGCAGCTTTTCTGCAGTATTGAATTAAATGTACTCTCCTGCAAGTTTTCTATCTTTTGGCAAAAAAGTTAAATCTTGCCTCTCTACTGAACGTCCCAAATTTGCTCAGCATGAGCACTCTTCTTTTGTATCTTTTTGGCTGTGCCTCTTTACACGCTGCATTTTAAACCTTCATCAGTAACATGCAGGCTTTTCTGCCTGCCATAGGAGGGTCTCCCTTTCCAAGACATGTCCTCACAGTCCTGCTCTTCCTTGGACTTTTTCCCTTTCTGCCTCTCTTAACTTCAGAGGGAGCCTTTTAGTTGCTCTCTCCAATAAAACAGCTTCTGAAACCTTGCGTGTTCCAAACCTGCCGGTAGTAAATGTCCACGTGCCACTCTGTTACCTTGGCTTTGCTGTTCTCATTTCATAATTTAAGTCTTTGATTGGGGTAGAAACAGCAATATTTAGTATTTTTGTATATTTTAAAATTGGCTTCTTGTTATCTAAATAGTCTGACTTCCTTTTTCACACTTGAAGTTAAACTTCTGTATCTAAATGCACCACAGACATGTAGGTCCCATCTATGTTATATATATCCTGGTGGGAAATGCAGAGCAAATATATCACTTAGAACACCTATGAACAGTACAGTTCATATTAAAACCATATGATTTTTGTTACCAAAGCCATTATAGCCAACAGGATAAATAATACCTGACACACATTTTTATCTTGTTCAAAATGTGGATTTCCACCTCTTGAGTAAAAATTATAGTATGCTTATTTTAGTATTTTCTCCCTTAATGCCCGCAGTATCATAGTATTTGTTGTCTTTGACACACATGGTAATTTCTAATGTCATTTAAAGCTACCAATGGCCTGGCCCAGCCCTAACTGATGTGTTTAATAACTATCATCTGTGTCCTTCTGACTAATAAATAGTTCTGTTTCCTGCTGTCAAAAATTGAAGTGAAATGCATGTGCATCGGAGAAAGAAAAATCAAATTCATCCCTCCTCAGACAATCAATCAAAAGTGACAGGCCCTTTAACATACAATTTGTAGGGCACTGTAGGTTTAAAATGGGAACTGTCTGTAACATGTTGTGGCTTTAACATATGACAAAAGCACATCCACGACGTGGAAAAACAAGGCGATATATAGTGCAAGAGGCTCCAAGAAAATGCTTTCTCCTCAAGCAGCGTGTCCCTCTGTAAATCTGGTCATCATAATAAGATGCCACGTTTGTACGGCTGTGGCCGAAATGTGGCATTTTGTGTTGCATTTATCCAGTATTTGCTTTCTTGAGACTCACCGCTATTGCACCCTGACGTATTTTTTTTTTCCACATTTAAAGCAGACTGTCTCTATTTGGCAACACAACTAATTTACAATGTGTGGCAGATGATTGTTTTAAAATACATCTTGCAAATAATTCTGCTAAATGTCAGAAAAAATATAGCATGTGAAAATGTAATGACATAAGATATTGATTTTAATTTGGATTACAAAAAGAATCTGATAATTTTAGCTAACAGTTCTCTTGATTTTGATGTGTTTTGAGCAGAAATTAGAATTTATATTACATGGTGTCAGAAAGCTCTTAGCATTTATAAATGCTCACTCCTGCAAGTTAAAAATTCTGGTTCATAATTCCCACTCTGGGTCTTGTGAGGCACTTTTCAATCATTTCTCTCTGCTAATTTTGGTGTCACCCTCATTTCTTTTTAAAAGATTCATTTTGAGCAAATTTGTAAATGGCCCTGATGTGTTCTACAATTTAGTCAATTACTGTTTCAGCCTGCAAGCCTCCTGGGAAACGGAACATACATGGCCTGAAGGTACGAATTTCAATAATTGTTTCACTAAAGTTAGATGGATTTGTAATGCTGTGTTCCACTTATTGAAATGTCAAATAAAACTGCACTTTCTTGAGCTCTGACAAGCAGATTTTTTTTATGAGGGTGGGAGAAAGATTCATCTGCTGGGTGTTGGCTGCAGTATCTGTATATACCGCTTTATTTAAAACCTCACTGCTTTTTTTTCCCCTAACCTCTGTTAATAAGCTTGCTAAATTTTAATATTCAATTGATCACTAATATCTGCTCCTAGCACAAGAAGGTTCTTTGCTTGCTTTTTAAGAAGAAATACTTACATAGGTTCCTTAAATTAATATAGCATGGAAAGCACTGCACTGAAATTATTTTAAGTTGTTGGATTCACTCAGGTATACTGCATTGCTTCTGTGAACATACCCATTCTGAAATGCAGAAGTCTACTTTTATATATTTATATATATATCTAATGACTGTTTATTTTTCAGAATTATATTATATGGTTGACATACCTTTTTTTTGTATTACTAAACACTGAAACTAAACCTTTAAAATATAAGGACAGTATATTGTAGTGCATGTATTACGCAGCCTGCTAACCTACATAGAGGCAAGACCTCAACCATCGGCATGCCTAGCAACAAGCTAATTAACCTTCAGAGTGAAATGAGAAATTCATGGCAAATTACAGGTTAATTAGAATAGTGTCCTCTGAACACAAACGACTGATAAAGATTCTTTCCCTGCCTGCAGGTAAATACACGAGCAGGGTCTGCTAATAATAGCAGTTCAGCAGACTCGGATTCCCTTCCAAGCAATAGGTAAGAGTCACGAACGGGAGCGAGTGTTTTTGTTTTGTTTTGCTGCATTATAACAGAATAAAACCTGGGTGCAGTTGTTATCAGTGATAGGCTCGGTAGGTAATAACTTCATCAATATGCCTACTGGGGAGGTAAAATTGCCTTGATTCATGGGTCTTGTTAGACTTACGTTGCTACTTGTTCAGTAGACACATTTTCTGCCAGAAGAAATGTCTTTGCAGGGTGTTTCAGATGGTTTTGCCCTTAGTAAAGCATTGAAATAATGCAGGTATTCAATACTGAGCCAGAACTGCATTTATTTTAATTGATCTAGTAATGGCTCTTTATCACAAGGTTTTTAACTTATTTAGCAGGTTCAGGCCTTCATTGTTGACCTTATACCAGGATTTTTTTATTTTAAAATGTTATGCCTAATTTAGGAAGTTCATTGATATGTAATTAGATTTTTTTAAAAAAAATACAAACATCTTAAGTGCCCTATTTCAGGCTTCAAAACTTTGCTGACACTATGCAGCCCTCTCCTTTCAAATTGCAGCCATGGTTGCAAAAACTATTTTTAAACCTTGGAATATAAGAGAAGACTATCTTGTTTTAAGCCTTGTTTATTTTTAAAAGGAAATAGGGAAAAAGGTGAAGCCAGGCTTTTCTCATAGGTGTATAACTGAAAGGACAAAAGGCAGCGTTGAACCTGAAGTGCGAGGATAGAAACCTCCAGAGGTCCCTTCCAACCTGAATTACTCCAACGCCGATAGGCGTGTGCAATGTATTATTAGTTGTTCTGCTTAACCTGTATTAGCGTGCTGCTCCCTCTTCCCTCCAAGAACGCTTTTTGAAATAAAAAGGACAGGGATGAGCCAGTGGCCCTGTAAATGCAGGGGGCCAAGCGTGTCGCCATCGCTCGTGTTGTAGAGCAACGGTCCCGTTGGAGGCGTCTCGGAGCAACGCGAGCGGCTCTGCGCGGTGACCTCCTCCCCATCCGCCAAACACAGCCCCCTCTGCCCCGGCATGCCGGGCCTTCCTCTGCTTTGAGCTGTTCATAAAGTGCTCTGAAAAGCAGCTTTCTAGAAGCTTCTTGTCACCTTATGTGGTGGTTAATTGCCATTCCTTTTCCAAAACCTTCTGCACTAGGAGTTTTGTTTTTGAAGTAATTGAAAGTCTCTCTTTGTTTCATGTTCATAAATTGTTAGTCATGAAAGATGACAAGATCAACTTATGTTTCCTTGGAAAACTTAATTTTTCTTTAAAGCAGTCGTGGGAACAAGAGGCCTATTAAAGAACAAAGCCACTAAATACCAAATCTGTGGTTTTGCTGTTCTTGTTAATAATGATCTGTGATCAAGACACGTGCTCGTGCCTTTTAAGAATATATTATTTTGTACTTCTTTTATGACTTCAGTAATAGGAGCAGAATGTTTTTCTGGGATAAGTTTTCCAGAGATGCTGCTCTCCGGGCAGTTTGCAGTGTTGAGCGTGTGAGCAATGGAGTTTGACAGGAGAGGGCGTGAAGTTGTCATTGGTATTTTGGGGATGGGATTTAGGGGAGTAATTTGCAGCCACTATAGTTTTACTGATCAAATATGCCAGGCAAAGAGTTGCACTTCGTTATTTTCTTCTCCCGAATAGAATAATATGGGTTGTTTTGTCTTATCTAAGAAGGCTGATGCAGGAATAGTTTCCAGTGGAAAGGAACAGGATACATGTGGTGATCTGGACTCATCTCCCTAAATTTACATGTCACTGAGACACCAGAGGCAGGATTGAACTCGCCTGCTCCCTGTGCCCGTCTCTGCAGTCCGTTGAGGTAGTGAGGTGTCATCAGAACTATGCACCACTGGGTCTCCAGGCACTTGAAGTAGATGAGAACCTTACTTTTCTTGTTGGCTTTGAAACATGTGGGCTCTCTGTGATTTTGTCCTCTGGTTTTGGAACTGTCAAAAGGTGGATTGTTGGTCAGTATAGTCTGGTATCCAAACCACTAGTTTGTGAAGCTGAATATAGTCATGAGGTGCTTAATTTTGCATTGCTGCTCTTTCTCCTCTGTGTACTCTGAAGAGTCTGTATAGTTAGTTAAATCTAATCAGAATATGTAACCATAAACTTAATCTGATGGCTTGTTCCTTGGTATGACTTTGCTTCATTTTACAAAGCAAAATGGTGTAGTCATTAAAAATAACTGTCCTTTTTCTTATTTTTTTTCTTCAGCTTAAAAAAGTCTTCTGCAGAGCTGAAGAAAATACTAGCAAACGGCCAGGTAGGTGCACTCCATTTGCTCTTGGGTACTTGTTACTGCCTAGTACTGCAGTGACTGGAATACCACGGATTTCTGGACAGATGCTTACTGCTCATTTAGTTGTAATGTGTTCTTTTAATACAGAGCAGGAGACACCATGAAAACCTTCACGATATGAATGAGTTATGTGTCCTGATTTATTTTGATTGGCATGGCAATTTGCTTCCCATTTCTCAAAATGTGCTAATCAGATTTAGCTCCGAATAGATTGAAGTACCTCACACATGTTGCGCTGCTGCCACAATTTCAGGGAAGAAAGTTAATCAATTTTGAATAACTAAGTCAACTGCTGAGTTGGAATGACCTTCGTATTTTTAGGGTAGTGCTTATTTAGCTGGTTCTTGCAAGGAACTGCTCTGCATTATTTGGAACCTCCTTGTACTTTTTGCTTATTTTTTGTTCTTTAAAAAAAAAAAAATCCTAGAAGGCTGGCCTGTTACTTCCTGCTGCAGATATTTAGATTCCAGCACCCAGAAGCACAAGATTTAATGTAAAACTGAAGGACACGCGGCTGAACGGAGCAGTCGTTCCCCATTTTGAGCTGAACATATGTTCAGACGCACATGTGCAGACCCACAGTTGTATAATGGCTCTAAATATGCACCATTAAATTAAACTCCCTGAAAAGAATCCCAGATTCTTCAGCGGCAACATAAATATGTTTTAATGTTTGTCATGGTGAAAGCCCTTTGATAGCCTTGGAGGCAGGCACCTGTCCGCTGCGATCAGGCTTGCCTATTAGGCTCTATTGACTGAGACATCTGTGTCACTGCAAATAAAAGACTCTTATTGATTTTCTTAACTGCTGTTCACTTCCCCTCCATGTTTCGAAGGCTGAAATCTTAATTATCTCAGATGCGTATTCAGTGCCTTCACACAATGACCTCTCCAAGCCTCATTGGCATTTCATGAATCAAGTAGTTGTAGTTGAGCGTGTCAAGAAGATAAAGGCCGGTCCTCACGCTTGTCCTTCGGTGGCACCTGTAACGTGGCGCTCGAATAGATGAGAGTGCCCCTCGGAACGCGGGGCGACCCGCCTGGCTCGGGTGCTGTGACTACAGCTCGGAAGGGCCTTTCCAGGCTCGTCAGCATTCCGTGCGTGCCGGCACGGTAGGACGCCATGAATATTAAACCAACTTTTAAACTTCTAAAATGAAGCTCAGTAATTCATACTGTTGCTGACTCCCTTCTGGAATAATTTTCAGGAAAATAGAGTTACTGAACACAAGTGTAAGCCTTGTTCTCATGATTGAGTTCATAAGCACAATTTGGCATTTTATTTGTTCTAAACAGTCAAAATGATTATTTTGTATATCCCTGCAATAGATAATTATAGGGCTTTTTTTGGTAACAGAGTTGTATAAAGGAACCAAAAATCTTTTAATTATATTTAAAAATTTTACTTTTACCCGGTAAAGGCAAAATTCAGAATAATTTTAGTATTACCTTTTCACCCTTTTCTAATAAGAGTCATATCATACCTCATTTAAGAAGAAAATGCTTTTTGTTTTGCTGCATAGTATTCTGCAAAATTTGGTCACAGATTCATAACTGGAAATGAGTTTCTAGTTGCAACATAAACTTTTCTTCCTTTTGGGGGATTATGTCACACTTATTACTTAAATATGGGTTGGGTTATTATTTTTTATTATTTTTGGCAGTTTATGCTTTCAGGCATTTCTAATGATATTCCTCTGGTAGTTTCCATTTAGGTTTAATAAGGAATTCATATTAATCATTAAAAGAAGGGAGCATGATTCTTCAAGATAATCAAATATTGACAGGTTAGAAATAGCTTTCTGCCTAGGTTCATTGATATAGGTGATGTGATATAAATATTTATTTCTTTTCTGTCACTCAGAGTAAATGCCACCAATTGATTCAGCATTGATATAGTGTCAACAGTTCATAAGAAACATTTGACTGGCTTGTGTTTTCCGATTAGTCTCTGCTCTATAAAGTGGGATTTACTAAATCTCTTCAATTGTCTGCTCATAGAGTGTGACTGCTTTCTGAAACCATTATTGCTTCGATTCGTAAAGCAAAGGTATGGCCAGAGCAGCCTGCCTCTGACAGGCTTCTACATGTAAAATAAGGATTAATTGAGCATTTTGGTTTTAATGATTTGCAAGAGATAGACACTGATTTCTTTCAAAAACACGAGATATAAACAAAAGGTGTTTTGTTTGCTGATCCGTAATTGAAGTCCATTTCTCTTTTGCATTAATTCTGCTAATATTGGCATCCGATGAAATTTGGGTTTGCAGGTTTAATATTCCGGTCCATACCGTCGAGTTCCTCTGCATTGTGTTATCATTTTATGATTGAGAATCCAGTTTTCCCAGTAAAATAAATAAATCACCGCATGTTTTCTGGCATCTTTATTTGAGCCAGTAAATCACACTTTATCTCCCCATCGTTCGCTGGCAGATAGCTGCTCCAGCCCAGTCTGCCTGTTTCTCCCTCGGTTCCTGCTTGCCCTTTTGTGCACAGGGACAAGAAATGGTACCGGGCTGGCAGCAGGGGAGAGCAGCGCAACATGAGGGCAAAGAGCTGCTGCTGTCATGGGCTTCTATGGAATGACATGAAGAAAACACGTTTTATCACTTAGAAAGAAGCAGAAGAGAGAGGATGCTTTATGGCCCTGCTTCTGCTCAATTTGTTGCTTATAAGTTGCATAACCACAAAAAATGTCTGTGTCCCCCACCTCCAGAAGTGAGGACATAAATATGTTCATTTCTCATACAGTTTTGTTTATAAGTACATTCCTGGGAGTGTGTAAAAGAGATCTTTGCTGTTACCTCAAGGACCAGAGAATTAAAGCTCTCTGGCTGAGGAGAGCAGAAATCCTTAAACACTGCCTATGCTGTAAAAAAAAATTCACTCACTGTCTAATTTATTGCAGAGGATCCAGTAGAGGTTCTTCATATTTTTCAGACTTGAGGAATACTTTTTCTTTATGCGAAGTGGGTTTGCCCCTTCTTTATTTGCATTTTCTGCCATTGTAAGCAAGACAGATTTAGTGATAACGTTTATATTGAAAACCTACTCTGACCCTTAAATGGCTCATTCCACACTGCCTTAAGGTGTCTGGCCCAGGTTTAACTACAATTCCGTTATGTTATAGCATCAACTTCTGCTTTGAGTTATTTCTAGTTGTCTTAGAACATAAAAAAACAACCAAAAATTCAACCTTTCAACCAAAAGAAATGTGCAGAGTAAAAGTATTTCCTGCAAGAAACATCTTTTTTTATTCAAACAGTGAAAGACCAACAACTCAATTAAATATTGCACTTTGCGTTGGTCGAACGTGCTGAGCGGGACCATTCCAGGTATTTCAGCTTGTTGCTGATGCTTGTTCCAGCTGAAGCCAGAGGAAAAGTTCCTGTTCTCTTCACTGACATCCTATGAACAGGGATGCCTCAACGTGGCCGAGTGACCAAAGGGCACGTGTCTCCACCAAGTTTTAAAAGCCCTTTCCCAAGTTGGGTAAATTCTCAGATGGGGAGCGTACAGCAGGCTCTGCCTGGTTCTTACCATGCTGCTACTGATAGCTTTAAATTAATTGTTTCAAGTATCTCAGATGTGTTTGTGATCTCTAATGACACCATATATATCATTAGGTATTTTTTAAATGCCTTTTAACGCATAAAAATAACAGGAAGTCTTTAAGCTATTAAGCTTTAAGCTCATGTTAAATGTTTATTTTGGTATCCCATAAAATACAAACAGATTATAGAAGTAAGGTAGTGACTTGATAACATTCTTAGGAAAAATTAAGAAAATTTTTCTTTTTTTCTTTCCAAGTGCACATGTCCTTTCCCAAAGTGCCCGTGGTGATTTCTGGAGCGCTGGCCTGGCCGGCCCGTGTACGATCCGCGTTTGCCGCATGCGGAGCTCGTGCCAGGCTCTGCTTGCCTGCCTGGATATCGTCGTGCTCTCTGGGAGCTGTCCCAGAGCAATGACAAGCAATTTGTTACGTAACTCAAGGAAAATTAGTGCTGTTGGATAGCAATTGGTGAATTATTTCTCCTGCAGAATATTCACTTTAGTTCATAAGTGGTTAAATTGAGCTCTGTGGAGCAATCCTGCTGATAGAACCTTGTCCCTCAATTAGTATCAATTATGCTGATTCTAGAATAAGTCATAAACTTTTCCAGCCATACGTAAGATGACAGTTTTTTGTTGGATTGTTTCCATTCACCTCCAACTTTGGCTTTGGTTATGTGCTGTTCTGGAGACCCTTTTCCTATCAGTATCTGTGACCTGACCCTCTTGAGCTATATTATATCATTCCATTTTGACACCTTTTATCAAACTTTAATGAAATGACCCAGGCAAACAAATTGTCATTAAACTTTCCATCACTTTGTCCCTTGGTATCGTCTTTTATAAATTGGACAGCAAATGTTGTATTGATCTTCTCGTTCTTGCAGCTGAACTTGAAATGACCCAGACTGCTTGTTGTTTATGGCCTAGAGTTGCTTTTCCTTGACATTTCCATCCACAGCATGACATCCCTTTTGTTTTTCTTTCTTTCTTGTGGAGATGAATGAACAAGACATACGGTATCGAGACATCCTCGGTCATGGCAATGGAGGCACAGTCTACAAGTGAGTGTTGAATTTCACTTAATTTTTTTAAAATAAAATTGAGCAGATTTTTTCGCCTCTGTGTGTACAGTAAGATGTAGGTGGGCCATTGCTGCTATGCAGAAAAGAAATTCTAAATATAAACTTTTTAAGAATTCTCTTTACATATTTGCAAGGTAGCTGCTTCTGGGTGCCGTGAGGACCGGTGCGTTTTTATTGTCTTTTTAGCACCTAGCTTTGAATCCCTCCTGGGTTACAAGTTAATGGTTCACAAGTGAAACTTGGTATGTCCTGAAGGGTAACGAATTGCCGTCGGTATTTGCAGCGCAGGATGCGATGACACCGATGCTCTGCCTTTCTCTAGCAATTCAGGATTAGTAAATACCCTTTCTCTGGTGCAGTGACTTCCCTCCCTTATGAGCAGCTTCACACACAGGCTGATGAATACATTAAATTATCAACTCCCCCAAATTTTGGTACTGAAGCTTATACCCTGCAGCCAGTATTAATTTTAATATTGTAAAGATTATAATAGCAGAGAGAGTTTTCTCGATAGGAAAGTCCTTCTCATGCATAGTGCAAAGTTTAAACTACATAATGTAATATCTGGTACTTAATAGTCTGCAGTGGTGTATGAAAAATATTCCAGTAGGAATTAAGAAATCCATAGTTTGTAAGAAAGCCCTGAGGGAGTAATAAAGGTTTCCTCCAGAGAGCTATTTACCATATACAGTAACCCAGCATCCCATTATGGTTTTGTTTATACCTTGGATATTTTTACTTTGATATTAACATTAAAAAAAAAAAGAAGTTTTAAAAGCTACAGTGCGTTTGGTTTAGTTTCTAATTGGCTGCCAGTGCTGTGAAACAGCTGCCTTTGGTCTCCTTGCAGAAGGTTTCTTAAAATGGGTTTCCAAAACCTTTAAGGGAAAAACCTAGTTTTTGAGTGGACTCTTCAAAAATTAAGTTAACCTTGTCTGTGGTGAGCTCCCTTGCATTCTGTGGCAGAACAATATTGCTAAACCAAGAGACTTGGAGCAGTGATGCTCTTCCCTGACTGCAAGAGAAGGCCTTGGGAAAGGGTGCTGCGCTCTACAGCCTTCCTTACCCTGCCTACTGGTGCCTGGGGAAGGCGTTGAAGCCCTTTTAGGAAAGTCCTTCGGAATAAGGGAATTCACATAGGTTTGTCAGTCTCATCCAAAATTACTGTATTGGGAATCTCTCCTGCTCTATGTTTCTGTCTCACTCCAGCTTCTGCAGTCGTAGTCCAGAGGTGAAGCCTCACAAATAGTTTTTGAGCTTGTGTAGCAGGTATCTTCAGCATGCTGGAGTTCAGTGCCTTCTGTTGTGCCCTGTATGGACCTTGTTTGGAAACTGCTGATCATTTTGAACCCTAAAGGTTCTGCCTTTACTCTGCAGCCTGTTAGGGAGGGGAGGAGAAGATGCTCGTGGTGGGTCCATGTGAAGGTGGAGGGAAAG